GAACGTTAACAGAAAACAGAAGTAATGTCCCTAAATACAAAAAACCAATCCAAAATACAAATGGAAAAGATATTAAAAATACATCATATTTAACAAACCTGGGAAGTGTAGTAACATCAGATTGCGGAGCTGACAATGAAATAAAATCTAGATTTAGGTAAAGCCAGACGATCCTTTAATGTCAAGATTAAGAATATACGGAAGGCAAGCAGCATCAACAAATCTGAATCTACACTACTTGAGAATGCTTCCACATGAGTTTCATCTTTCTTGGCCGAATGATTCTGGAGAAGAAGATTTTTAAAGCTTTTCCTATATATTCCTATGCAAAACTTTAATCAGCCATTGTGGCCCTGCCCTACCCCCGGGGGTCGTGATTTGAATAAAATTGAATCTACACTACCTGAGGATGCTTCCACTTGAGTTTCATCTATCTTGGCCCATACACTGTAGAATGAAGTACAGTCCGATTATGCAATTTATTTTACGTGTTTAAAGGTATATCTTTATACTATAATATATTTATATATACATTTAGATTTATATAATCAATAGAATGTCTTTTTTTTGTTGGTACAGTCCAATAATGCAATTTATTTTACGTGTTTAAAGGTATAATCTCTATAATATAATATATTTATATAGACATTTAGATTTATATAATCAATAAACCATGTAGATGTAAATGAAAGACTTATCTAATGTAAAAGTTGGAAAAATAAAACGGTTGCATGTATGTATTTTTTTTTTAATTAAAAATTATTATTTAATCGTCAGAAAGAATAAGAACACCAATAATAATATCAATTAAAACGCTGGATTAATCTGTTATTTGTTTCCATCATAAAATTCTGCTTGGGCCGTGGTGTCTTTTATTTGGACCGACGTGTCAACTATCTTGGGCTGACCTGTTTGAGCTGAAAAGTAAAGCGTGACGGGCCGAGGTGTCGTTGGAGATTAAAATTTTATATATAAATATTTCCATTTCTTATTTTTGATAACTCCTTGAAACTTAGCGGAGTTAATTTCTTGATAAATCTGCCGGAATGTAAATAAGGCAGGTCGAAAGGTCTGGAGCTAGGGAGGCCTAATATGCTTGCAAATTTCGTGCGCATCTCTCTCTGTGTCTGGCGCTAAGGATGCCAAATATGCATGAAAATCTCCTGCGTCTGCCTTTGTATTGGACGGCAGTGGGCGAGGGCTATGGAAATTGGCAAGGAAGTTCTCGAGTAATTTAAATCTATGTTTACATTTTAAAAATATAAATCTACAATCTTATTTCACAAGGAAATGGAAATATAAGGAATCACTGTTTAGTTCGTATAGTATGCCAGGGACATCAACGATAGTGGGAAACATGGGATAATTTATGCATTATCCCATGTTTCCCACTATCGCACTATCGTTGATGCCCTGGCATACTATACGAACTAGACAGTGATTCCTTAAATATTCAGGAAAAAACTCAAGTACAACACAACAATGATAAGTCATATATGAACAAGATGTGTTTGTGAAACACTGATGCCCCCGTATGGAAACATATCAAAGATTAAACTTTTCTTGAATGCAAATTTAATTAATTAGTACCAAAAGTAGGGTATTCTCACTGGAAAACAATTGTGAAATTTGAAAGTAAGCCAATGTTAAAGTTTTTTTTTTTAATAAGTACAAAAATCTCTAAGGTTAAGGTCAATGTAATTTGGTATCAAATGAAAGGTCTTGCCACATAGAATACTTATGTAGAGCAAGAAAGCCCTAGCCTAAAAGTTCAGAAGTTATAGCCAAGGTTCAATTTTTTAAAAAAGTAGGTCAAACTCCAAGGTCAAGGTCAAAGGGTTAAAGTTCTTGTTATGAAATAAAAGTTCTTGTCACAAGGATTAAATATGTAAAGTATGAAAGCACTAGCCCTACACCTTTAAAAGTTATGGCCTATATTTGCTTTTTTAAAGTAGGTCAATCTCAAAGGTCAAGGTCAAAGGGTCAAAATTCTTGGTATCCAATAAAGGGTCTTCTCACAAGGATTACATTTATGAAGTATGAAAGTCCTATCCCTTACCATTCAAAAGTTATGGCCAAGGTTAAAGTTTTTTCACAAGTACGAAAGTCTACAAGGTCAAGGTCAAAGGGTCAAGGTTGTTGGTATCCAATGAAAGGTCTTTCAACAAAGAATACATTTGTGAACTATAATTGTTCTGGTATCTACTGTTCAAAAGATATGGCCAAAGTAAAAGTTTAAATAAAAGTTTTATGTAAAAGTGGGTCAAACTCCAAGGTCAATGTCAAAAGGTCAAATTTGATGGTACCCAAAGAAAGGTCTTGTCACAAGGAATATACATGTGAAATATGAAAGTAATAGTTCCACTAAATCAAAAGTTATGGGCAAGGTTAAAGTTTTTGCGGACAAACAGAGAGACAGACAGAGAGACAGACACGACAAAAACTATATACCCCCGAAACTTCGTTCACGGGGGCATAAAAATCTACAATATAACAACAATTATTAAATTTAGGAAAAACGAGTCTTTAATGCTTCAGTAGCAATTTTTTTTTTATAACATATGTGAGTTATTTCGTCTGTCTTCAACTTTCTCTAAAAAAGAAAAAAAAGTCAGTATAATTTACAACATAACAACAATAAATTAAGGAAATACGAAGACTTAGATGCTTCAGCAGCTACTTATTTAACAGAAACTAAAAAAAGAAGAAATAAGAAGTCTCTGTCGAGATTGAAGCTCTACTGGTTTGTACTTATAGCAAAGGAAGATAAAAGTATTTAAGCAGTTAGGAATTGAAACTTTACGACATCAATAAATAGAATAATGATCCTTGATTAAGTCTCCTTATGTTCTTAGTGTAGTCTACTTGCATGTCACAGTATATTATAATCAGAGCTAAAACTGTATTTGGAGTAGCATTTTGAGAGCATTTAACGGAAATTTCTATTTTTAGTAACCAAGGCAATAATGTTAATCGAAGTCAACAATCGATAAGTAGAATTGTGTATATTAGTGTAGTCTACTTGTGTGCCAAGTTATATTGAAATCAGACCAAAACTGTAGGAAACGTAGCATTTTGAAAGAATTTCACAGAAATTTCTATTTTTAGTAACCTCGGCAGCACCGTTCATCCAAATAAAAAAACGATATACAGAATTATGAACCTTAGTGTTGTCTACTTGTGTGCCATGTTTTATTGAAATCAGATCAAAACTGTAGGAGGAGTAGAATTTTGAAAGAATTTCAGTAATTAGTAACCACAGCAACACAGATCATCGAAATCAAAAACCGATACAAAGAATTATGTATCTTAGTGTAGTCTACTTGTTTGCCAAGTTATATTGAAATCAGACCAAAACTGTAGGAGGAGTAGCATTTTGAAAGAATATCACAGAAATTTCTATTTTTAGTAACCATGGCAACACAGTTCATCCAAATCAAAAATCGATACACAGAATTATGTATCTTAGTGTAGTCTACTAGTTTGCCAAGTTATATCGAAATCAGACCAAAATTGTAGCAGAAGTAGCATTCTGAAAGAATTTCACAGAAATTTCTATTTTTTAGTAACCACGATAACACCGTTCATATAAATAAGAAACCGATATACAGAAATATGTATTTTAGTGTAGTCTACTTGTATGATAAGCTATACGGAAGTCAGACCAAAACTGTAGGAGGAGTAGCATTTTGAAAAATAGTTTACAAACAGACAGACAGCTAGTCGGACGCATTACTATCACATAAGCTCTTCTGGTCTCTGACCAGTAGAGCTAAAAAAAATCAATATATTTTCTAGCACCTCATCTTAAAAAAGGCATAAATGTATCGCGATTTTAAAAGTTTTTCCTGTTATGTAATTCCATGATAATCAGCATTTTTGAAACAGAAATTTGAATTGCATAACTTTATACTGAAATTATGTACAATTGCTGAAAGGTGCTACTAAAACAAATGCACGTTTCACGAATGGTACACACTCGTTATACGGTTTGTACGAAATCTTGCACGGTTTACGAAACGGTTAACGGTTTAAACAAAACGCTTTGCACGAAAGGCACGGTTTACACAAAAGGCTGCACGAATTCGAAACGCTTTGTACACTGTTCTCACAGTTCACAATTCTAACATCCTTTTGTCTCGATCTGGATTTACTATATTCAAATTCTCTCGGATATTTTTTTACTTGTAATGTAATCAGAATTATTAAGAATCGATCATAATTAATCAATTAGTTTTATTAGTAAATAAACTGCAAATGATGCAACATTTCATGATTGTCTTATTACCAATGGTAAACTCGAAGTCCCGAATGATTAATTTTCGTTTGAAGAAAAAATGTGTTTTGCTTTCCTTTAAAATATAAAATAAAGAGCTAGGAGCGCCTTACGCACAGTTTTCACGTCCTATTAGATTAAATGTCCAAAGTTCAACAATTGCAATTTTATACGTTTTTAAGAGGTTATGGTCCAATTTAATGTTAAGAAAGAGAAAGAAATATGTTATACACTACCACGTAATTTAAGCTTGCTGTGTCTGTGCATTTTTTAAAATCTCACATCATAGCAACAGTATGATATTTCCAACTAAAACTGGTTTCAAACATTACATTATGACAACTTGACACATTTTTTTTAAAAATGAAAAGACTTTAGAATTATTCCTAAACGTTACTCACACGATTCTTGCGCGAAAGTAGCACATTTCTCACACGCTTTTAGCACGATCGCGTAACTGTCTGCACGGTACCCGTTGAGGCTTACCCTAAACGCTGCACAGTTTACCCTAAATACTGCAGTGTTTGCATGAATCTCCACACGGTTTACACAAAACGCTATATAGTTTGCATGAAATGAAAAGCGCACGAAAGTCGCACGCTTTAATGGCTTCAAGGACTGTATTGTTTTAATTGAAACTTGATATTACGAACATTTTCTAGCATTTTAAATCAAATTTCCAATTAAGATATTTTATAAAAAAAAAATAAATACTTGCCGCATTATTTGTATTTTACCCTTGATGATCGGGGTAGCAGCCAACACATAAACAATAAGTCCAAACTGAAAAACTGTTGCAGTATCCACCTTCGCAGAAGCGTTCATGGTAGCAATAATCTCTGCAAACTGTATGATTGTGATATCCTGGCAAAGGACTGTTGCACCCATGATCTGCCATGACGACACTGACAGAGGCTAAAAGAATTAGTAATACAGCATGTCCAAAGCGCATTGATAAAGAAAATTTCATTTTTAGTTCATGATTCCATACATGTCTTATTCCGTAAAGATTCAAATTCGAGGTTGTTTTGTGCGTTTCACAGAAATATGCAAAGAAAATTATTAATAATTAACGACTTATCCAATAAATACAATTTTAAAATACATGTAGATAAGCAAAATTACATACCAATCAAATACACACCCAGAATGATTAAAAGAAAGGCTTTCATCTTGGATCTGTTCTTGAAATAAAAAAAAAACATTGATCAGTTTGAATTTATTCCGTGAAATCAAAACCCCAAGAATGTTTTGTCAAAAAATTGAATATTATTACTTTTGTTTCCCTGTCTTTAACATGTTGGGAAACTATAAGCAGTAACTTTTTAATAAGATATATATATATATATATATATATATATATATATATATATATATATATATATATATATATATATATATATATATATATATATATATATATATATATATATATATATATATATATATATATATATATATATATATATATATATATATATATATATATATATATATATATATATATATATATATATATATATATATATATATATATATATATATATATATATATATATATATATATATATATATATATATATATATATATATATATATATATATATATATATATATATATATATATATATATATATATATATATATATATATATATATATATATATATATATATATATATATATATATATATATATATATATATATATATATATATATATATATATATATATATATATATATATATATATATATATATATATATATATATATATATATATATATATATATATATATATATATATATATATATATATATATATATATATGCCGGGTACTTCACAATTTTGAGAAGGTTACAAAAGTTCCGAACTAGCAAACATCTAAACACACATACCAGTAAATGTTCAAATAGATGAGTAGCTTCAGGCAATGTTTCTGGTAATTACACAAATTAAAAAGGGCTAAATTATCTATTTTATAGTATCCTATGATAGCAGATGTTTGTGACTTTGCAAAAAAAAAAACATTATTAATTGATTGCATGTGACTAGAAAAGTGCATAATTTTACTGCAACTGAAAAATGTGGAAACAATTCTGACAGAAAGAGAGATCCTAGATATCTTTCTTTGGCACACATTGTAACATGTGGGATAGATGATTTATTAAAATGAAACTGCGCAGTTTTAAATAGCTAGTAGCTATATTTTTATTTTGGATTTTCTTTTCTATTATAGCTCACCTGAGCCATGATTCTTTAAGACTCAAATGAGCTTTTCTGATCGAAATTTGTGTGTTGTTGTGGGCGTCATTGTTGTCCTAAACCTTTTACAATTTCATTTTCTTCTGCATAACCACGGAAAAATTTTCAATCAATCTGTCCAGAGAGCATTCTTGGGTAGATAGAAATTCAAATATGAAAAAAAGGGCCACATCCTCACTCAAGTGGAGATAACTGAGAATTAATAAAAAAAGGATTGGTGTATTTTAAAAATCTTTGTCTCAAGATATGAAGCTAATTTTAGTTTAGTTTGACACATTTATTTACTATGAACTATACTCTGGAACTTAATTTTTTTATAAAAGCTTTAAATATCTTAAATTTGATAATATTTGTTATAAAAGATTTGGAAATAATAATATTTTCATGTGAATGTGCAAATAATACCTCGATTTAATATAAGAAATGTGTATGTATGAAAAACTTTGATACTATGGTAAACTAAGTACTGTTAACTATAGTTAACGATAGTTAACGATTATAGTGAACTATAGGTAACTGTAATATTTTTGTTAGGGTGTACTTGGTCAGAAAAGATAAAAAAAATGTTTTTCTGACTTATAATTCAGATTCAAAGAGCCATAGCTGCCTTACCGACGACTCGGCCTACTCAAGTATTTAAAAGGAAATCACCTGTTTCTATTTATAGATACATGTACCTTTTCAATTCAAAATCAAACTACATGTATGTAATCATTTGTGAACCAGTGTTATATTTTCATAGTTGCAAGTTTGTTGCATGGCAATAATTTTACTTGTCCAATACTCTTATTCTAAACAAGAATGTTTAAATTTTTTTAAAATAAATCAGGCTAGCAGCTATGACTTTGGGTCATTAGAATAGTTTAAGACTGTGAGAGTGTGATTGCCATATACAATGTGTAATGTTGTATTACATATCGCTTTTAAAAATTATTTATACATGTATTATAAAATAATAAAAGAAAACATAGGAAAATGCACACAGAGAAAAAAAATAAAATCGTAGTTAAGTAACACGCACTTTGAGACTCGAACTCACGATCATTATATCTTCACTCCAGCAATCATACTACTACGCCACGAAGTCTTGGTAATCAAGTGGATAAAATTAAGACAGATTGTTGAATTTTGAAACAATTTTAGAAAAAAAAAATAAATACATACTTTCAACATTTTCAATATGAAGACCTCCTTTAACCAAAATTATATAAACGTAATGAAGTGCAGTCATATACAAATAAAATTATTCAGAAGTTGTTTTTCTGGTTAAGGGTGGTCTTTTACTACAGTTTGTCATTGTTTAGAGGGGTACCTCAGTATTTACTATATTCTCCATATAAACTGAACGATTTTTATACCTATCATATGAGGGAACTTTTAATAATTGGGTATTATTTTTGTGTGAGTTGCTTTAAGGCATGTATAAACTAACATTGAATGACAAAATATTGGTTAAACAAAGTATTTAAAAAATCATTACTAGAGTAGGCGAAAGTGATTATCAAATGCGCTATGGCTCTTTGTTCAAATCAACCTCTTGGGTGGAGAAGGGACACCTTATGATAAATGTTTTACAGGAATATTAAGGAAAAAAATCTTTAAACATTTTTTTCTCAAGAAAAGTCAATCCAGTCAAACTCATCTTCAAATCATGACACACAGGGGGAAGTGGGACAATAATGGGGAAATAAAATATTACATGGGAATTCATGAGAAAAATTTACAAAATCCTCTTCTCAAGATTAGAAATCTAATAATTATGTTTGAAAAAATCATCAGATTGTGTAGAATCAATTTGTTCAAACGATCGTGTTCTTGGAAGAAAAATGCCTTAACTTATCATTTGTTATGTCTCAGGAGAGATTTTTTAAAATGCAGCTGAAAAATGTGGTTACATTTCCGACATAAAGAGAGCCCTAGCTAGATATCTCTCAAACATACATCGAAACATGTTGGATAGATGATTTATTAAAATTTATTGAAATGAAATTACGCATTTTTAAATAGCAACTAACTAGTGACATTTATCTTAGGAATCTTCTTTGCTGTTTTTTTTTTAAACTCACTTGAGCCAAACAATTTCTTTGGCTAGAGTTAGCTTTTCTGACCAAATTTGCCTGTTGTCGTATTTGTTGTTGTTGATGTTGTCCTTAACTTTTTCATATTCTTTAGAACAAAATGGGCAGTTTTAACCAAACTTGAGCAGGAGTATTCTTTAGTTGAAGGGATTTGAATTTAGCCAAAAGAAGGGCCACACCCTCTTTCAACTGGTGACAATTGAAGATTAGTGTAAAACCAATTTCATGTATGTATATAAACTGCCTGGTTATTTTAATATGTTTGATTATTAAATACACTGTTTAAAATATATTTTCAGATCAGCAGATAGAACTCGTATCGTAATGGCAGGTGCAGGACAAATTATTTTGCCCGGATAGTTGATCAAAGAAGAAAGCATGGTTTTGATAATTGGTGGAAGTGGATCAGGAAAGACCGCTACAACGAAACATTGTGCGCTAAAGCTTGCAAATGAAGGATAAAAATCACTGTCCATAGACGATATAAGTGAAATAAGAAACATCGATGATAACGAATTTAACTGTGTTTTCGTACTCGATGATCTTGCAGGCATTTCGCGTCTCGATGAAAAAAATGACGATTGAGGGCACAATGGCACTGATGTACGTCAGACTTTTTACTATTGCAATCATAAGCTCATTGTAACCTGTCGAAAAATAAGTTACAATGAAACAAAACATTATCATGTTTTTGACAGCTACGGTATTGTGGACATTGATGATAAATACTGTGCAAAGAAGAGATACAGCAGCAAATCTTATAAAAACTTGTAAGATTAAACACTTTGTTGATTTATCTCCATGGAAGAAAAAACCATTCATGTTTCCATCAATGTGCTACATGTTGTTCAGAAAGAAAATGGGTGCCTCTAAATATGAAACCCCTCAAAAAGTTTTAAATCTTTGAGAATATCTGATTAACCAGATAGTTATAAAGGCCAGATCAAAAAGATCAATATACAATATGCATCCTTAGTACTTCTTGTGATTGCAAAGAACAATATCACGGACGCAATCTTTTGTGATAAAGAAGTTTTAGCAGCCATCTTTGATAAATGTAAGATTCACAAAAACTACACAATAGAACAGAGATACTACAAAGTTGAATACATGTATTTCGAAAACACCTTCGTAGTTCAATTGGGATGCACATTTCTTCATCATTCATTTTTTGAAATCGTTGCCTTTCTTTTTGGCCAGCAAAAAGAAAATTAAATTAAATTTTGATTCTTTGACATTTGCACTTAGATTTTTTTGCAAACAATACTCATTTAGGTAGCAATGGAAACTTTGTTGGCTTTCTGAAAATTAAAATTCATCCCGAAAATTATAAGGGATTATGTCGTTCTCTTCCGAAAATAACCCATTAAATACAGAGTGCATCTTTTGCTAATCTTATTTGTGAAAGCTTCCTCAAAATTATATTTAAAGTGATCGGTCAGAAGGATGTCATAGATTAATTTTGTTTTCAAAATCGTAAAAGGTATCGAAAGCAAAAGCTTAAGCAATCGATCAGAAAAGAGTCAGTTCAGGTCCTATAAAGCAAGATGCATTGGAAGATCAGAAGTACGGACCTTTCGAAATATCCGAAGATGGTAAAATCAAACTTGTTGACTGGATTGTGTGTAAAGGGCATCTGCCGTTTCTCCAATTGATCATATCTAAATCATCAAGTTGGTTTGATCGTTTTGATTTTTGGGGTTTTAAAAACTCTGTAATAAACCCAGAACGTCTTTTCTGGCTATCTATCTACAGCAAGGATAAAAACATGTTTTGTTTGCACTTTCTCAAATGAAGCAGATACATTTTGAGAAGTGTATCAATACAACCTCTGCCTCTTTGCAAAAGCCACTTGCTCTTGCCTGCTCATTAAATGCCTTTGAAATAACTAAAATCCTTTTAGAGAAAGGTGCCAGTATTAATGGGCGCAATTCAAATGGAGAGGCCCCTTTGTTCCTTTCTGTGAAAAATAGTTCAGAAGAATTTACCAGTTTTCTTTGAAAAAAGGTCCTCTAATCAACGAAAAAACTAGAAACCTTTGTCCATTCACAGTTGCGAGAAAAGCTAAAAACGAGAAAATTTTAAGATTACTTTTAGCAAAATCTGACCCTAAAAGTAGGGCTCATGATGGAAACACACCTTTACATCTGGCTATAAAATGTAAATTTTATGATGTTTCTGAAAACCTAATAAATGGTGGTGCTGAAGTTAATGCATTTAAGGAATAACTGTCTTATTTTTCGATTTCATGATGGGATCAATCGATTGGGTTGCGTGATAATTTGCATAAACGCCGAAGGCGTTTATGCAATAAATTATCACGCAAGCCAATTGATTGATCATCGTCATGAAACTGAAAAATCTGACAGTTATTCCTTATATTTACATGCTTTGATTCTGCCAATCCACGTGCTCCAAGCCCTGCTTCTGTCTAGCTGTTTGTTCCGCCCTGCACGTGGTTTTTTTGGAACCGCGCCAAAACATTGATGGGGAAATAAAGTACATTTACAATTTGTAATTTTATCTCCGACAAAGACATTGGAAATGTAAATATTAGACAATAAAGGTAAAACACCGCTGCATATTGAATGGAAGAGGA